GGGGGGGAGGAGCAGTAGGAGGAGGTGGTGGAGGAAGCCGCGTGACTCCCGCCCAAAGTCTATTGCAAACTGCGCTAGACACTGCGCCTACGCATGTAGGCTGCATGTCTAGTCTAAACACCACGGTGGAATCCTCTAGGCAACCCATAGTGCAGCTGCATAATGTTCTGTCGCGCTATTTTTTTTTCACACTGCGATAAAACAGCTCGTCTTATCCTATAAAAGTGTCCCACTTAATTTGCGACTGCGGAATGAACGTAAACAAGTACATTCTGTTTGTTTAAAATAGCGCTGTTGAGCGTTCATTGGAAGGGTACTGTCTGGCCGTTGGAATCAAAGCGAAGTGGCTACGAAAGTGTCAGTCGACTGCTTCAAGGCGAATTAGAAGGGCTCGGCTAAACTGGAGGGGTTAGCTAGGTGTCCGCCCCTGTTTTGAACGGAGGTTCCTACCGAAACAGGTCTTCACCTGCAGGCGGGGAGGACTGGAGATGAAAACTCGGGACAAATTCAACATTACTTTTTTCCGCTCTTTCCCTTTGGTCAAGGGCACAAACTCCGGTAGTTGAGGTCCGAGGACATTCAACGTCACATGCAGTGTGTCCATCGATCTGGCCTAGATGTAGGACGCTCTGAGGCCTTTAGTAATTCCCCAATGCTTGTGCCCTGGTCACATTGCCACACGCATATGCGTGTCTGGTCCGTGATGTGGGAGTTTGTTGGCTCCCGCACCACGGACCAGTAGGCGCGGACCAGACTGACTCACGACACGCGTTTACCGGGCTGCCCTGTGTCCGCATAAGCCCATAACAGCAATTGTACAGGCCTGTAGCGTGCGGCCATCATGACCGCTCTGGCGTCATTGTTCAAGACATCGATGCCTCAAGGTTATTCGCCCTTTTGCAGTGAGCCGTTCCAGACGAGCTGACCTGAAGTCACATGACCTCAGGCATACCTGCGTGCGCACAGCTGCAGCTGCCCATGAGACCACTTGAGCGCACCTCCTACTCGCAACCACAACCTAAGCCACTGGAACACCACCCCTCGGCAAATGCAATACACACCAATTGGAGACCACTTGAGCTTGGCGGGAGTTTGTTGGCTCCCGCAGCGGACCAGTGAGCGCGGACCAGATTTGCTCACGACACGCGTTTACCGGGTTGCCTTGTGTCCGCACAAGCCCATAACGGCAGCTGTACAGGCCTGCGATGACACATCCTAGACTTAGGCTCTCACGCCGCGTCAGACGTTGGTTGACAGACTCTGACAGTCGACTGGTGTATGGGGACGAGGAGGGGGCGTGAGGACGACTCTGGGATCTCTATCCCGCGGCACATCATCATATTCCTCCCTAACAATAAATATGACCGGTCTGAATTTACCACAGTGCGCCAACGGTCGCGGCTTGGCGGGCTACCCGCTGACGGCGTAACTCAGTCCCCATGGGATTATTTCGAAGTTACCCGAGGACTGGGAGTCAAACCGTGCAAATCTTCTAGACTGTTGTGTTTACTTGCCTGCTCCTTCTGGTGCATACTACGGCCCACTACCAGAGACAATAAAATGCCTACTGCAGGAGTGCGTTTGTATGGCAAACTGGTGCTGCCTAGTGTCAAGCGGATGCCATCATCATCATCAGCATCATCATCATCATCATCATCATCACCACCACCACCATCCTCATCATCATCATCACCATCATCATCATCATCATCGTCGTCGTCGCCGTCGCCGTCGCCGCCGCCCCCACCACCACCGCCGCAGCCACCCCCACCATCATCGTCGTCATCACCATCATCAGCGCCGAAAACCTCCCTGGGATTTTTCTGGATAGGAACTGGGCAACCGTGTTATAACACGTCCTCCTACCCTCCTGGTCATACAATAAGTAGACTAACTCATGAAATCTCAACAGAAATTTCGAAATGCGTTTTCGTTTTGAAAAGATTAATTAAGTAGGGTTGTAAACTAACCACCATATGGCATAATTCTATAATAATTCAGTTACCGGCTTTCGAATGAACCTCTTTACGGCTGCGCGCAAAAACCATACTCGGTAAAAAATGACTACTTAATTAACGTGCATTTTTAATTGATTTTCGACGCCTTTAAAGATTCTAATATATTTCATAGAAAACAAATATAAAAATATTCATTCTTTTGCTGATTCAATAGAAAATTACGTCTTCCAATTTTATACTCGAAGTAGGAATATAATTTGGTTTTAGAAAATTTTTCCAATTCCCGAATAATTTTGAACCCGCTCTACCGTTACACTTGGATTCAGGGTTTCCAAACTACGAGCCATATAATTTCCGCGTACGAAAAACCATACATTTCTCCACCGTATTAAGAGGAGACCATATGGGGTTTATAAAATTTAGCAGTGGATTTGAGCCATATTGTTAACTGTAAAAGTCACATTGGCAAATGAAGAGACATAGCGTCCTACGAGCGGCCGTTTCATTCCTTTGCATATTTGGTAGATAAATACGTCTTCTTCTAACTTTATGTTCGAAGGAAGGGTACAATTCGGTTTTGAGAGACTTTTCCAATCCTCAAATATTTTTGAACCCGCTCTACCGTCACATGTGGATCCAGGGTTTCCAAACTACAAGCCATATATTTTCCGCGTACGGAAAACCACACACTTCTCTACGGTAATAAAGGGGGACCATAAAGGGTTCATAAAATTAGGCAGTGGATTTGATTCATATTGTTAACTTTACAAGCCACATGGGTAAATGCAGAGACATGACGTTTTACGGACGACCATTTCACGATATTGAAAAATCTCACAATTAGAAACTTTTCTAAAACCGAATCATACTGCTCCTTCGAGTATAAAATTGGAAGAAGAGATCGTTTTCTACCAAATTAACAAAGCAATGAATATTCTTGTGCATGCTTTCCATGGAATATTATTGAATATTTAAGGTCATCGAATATCAATGAGAAAAATGAATGCTACATAAGTAGTCATTTTTTACCGAGTACGGTTTTTGCACGCAGCCAAATAGAGGTTCATTCGAAAGCTGGCATCCTGAGGTAACTGAATTATTCTAGAATTCTGCTACACCATAATTGGTTTTACAACCCTACTTAATTAATCTTTTCGAAACGAAAACGCATTTAAGAATTTCTTCTGAGATTTCATGAGTTAGCCCACCTACTGTACTTTCGGGCACACAACCCAGTAAGGCCGGACATTCCGCTGGAACAGACCGTTGCGTCGATGCTAGTCAACTCGACTCAACGAACCCAAAATCCAGGCAACTCTATTAGTCTGGTCGACGGGGCCAAAGGATAGACAGACGGAGAGAGGTGGCGACTACGGGAATCGCGGACGACTGTTTTAACTAGGGTTATCCAGCGCGTACCGGCCAGAGAATGCTTGGAGTGTCAATCAAGCAAAGTGACCGCCTAGAGAAAGAACGTCAGCGGAGAGCTGTGCGATTAGGTCAATTATTGTCGCTGTTTCAAAACTTACATAGGCTTTGATGTGCCAGCACTCGCACCCGCTTGCTGTCATTGAGTTCACAGTCACCTTATCGCGAACTTTCGCGGACTGACCAATCAGGGTGCTGTGGCCCGCGCCGAGCACACACACACGTGACTGGACTTTCAGCCAATAGCCGCTATGGCAGCCTGTTACCTGACAGTTCGGCCGTCGTTGTAGGCGATGTCAACCATCGGCAGCGTGAGAGCAAGGACGGTGATCGGTGCATAAGTTAGTTTATGGTGACTGTGGACTCGCGTAGCACCTACCGCACTCTCTCCTCCTTTCCCATCCGCGCCCGGTGTCAAGGTGTCGAAAGTAGTGTGCTCGACAAGACCAAGATTCCGAAACATCAGGCTAATAAAGCTCTTGTCCCAGCGATCGTGTCTCCTTATTCAAGATTCCCAATCATAAGTCAGGAAAGACGGTTTGAGTTGGACAACTTTTGCTGCCTGAGGAAGTGCATACACAAAGGCTCTGTAGGCAGCCGCCTCGAGCGCGCTCTCCAGGCTAGTTGTTGTCTGTGTCCGCCTTCGAGGTGCTGGGACCCAGCGCGTGTGTGCGCCTTTCGTTGTCTCCGCGTCCGCCAGCCAATCAGAGGGGGGACAGCGTTGATTGGGCTGGAGCACTCGCGAGGCTAGTGATAAGCCTCTCGTTCCCCAGCAGCGTCTCGACAAGGAGTGTGAGACGGACAGGAAGGCGGTGTGGCAAAGGCGGAGGTCAAGGAGACGCGAAATGCCACAAAGGAAGTGTCAGGAGGATCGAAGGCGGGGGAGGGCGCAGGCGACTGGCGTGGCGAAAACCCGCACCTACCACCGCACCCCTGGCCCACAACAGATGCTTGACCAGGACTTTATACACCAAGAAAAGAGGGATGAACCACTCGAGTAGCAATTGGCGCGACGTGAATCTGCAACTGCCGCCACAACGTAGTTCTGACGGATATTGCAGCGGCAGGCGTTATCGCAGTCTGACTCGCCCACACAGACTTCCTCAGGTCTCAACTGCGACGAAGCAGCCACGTCCGACATTGACTGGCAAGCTCACCAGCAGCACGCTAGTAAAAGCCTTGTGAAAACGTTGGCAGAAGCTCCTATTATAATGGCCTAGTCAGATTCCTTGCCTTCTTTTTGAGTCAAAGTACATTGTCTATATTTTCTCCTCCATCGCCTGAAGCCGGAACAATATGAAAGCCAGTGGACTTGCCTTTTGGCATGATAAACTCTCTGGGGCGCATTAAAGAGGTCTGTGGGTGTTTGTTACCACGTCAGAAGAAGTGGAAGTGATTTAAATATCTTCTCTGACAAATGAAACGAACATAAGCTCTGCATTGTCTTCGACCGTCTCTCTAAAAAAGAAATGATTTGTTTATGATTGAAAAGGATTTTCTTTTATGACCTTTATGTCCGTAGATGGCTGCCCGGCATGCAACAACCAGACTAGGTTGGAAGGTCAAATTATTGAAGCAGAGTGCTCTTGTTTGCAGCTAATTGGGCGTTACGGGCCGTGTACGACAGGAAAATGACTATCTTAGCAAGAAAAGGCGGTCGGATCTTATTTCGTGGCCGTACCTGCAGTTGACAAGTTCCAGCCTAACCCCAACTCCTGACCCTAACCCCTAACAGGTACGGCTACAAAATAGGATCTTGCCGAAAGGGCTCAAATAAAGTGTGGGAGATACGTGTATTTAGAACTAATTAGCCAATGTATCTGTACTGGTCCTACTCTAGGCGTCTGTCTCAACGCTGGGTCCCCACGCGAATGTCTGTACGTTCGCACCAGGGCTGTCTGGCATTCGCCCACTCGGCTTTCTAACCAACCAATCAGATTCAAGGTCGAGTCAGAAGTGCCCTAGCTCAAGACTTTTTGACGCATTCCCTGACGGACACTTAGAAAGCCTCCCTCCCGGGGTCGGACGTGCCCTCATCGGGCTGCTAACTCTCCCTCTCCGACCCCTTCTCCAGTTGTTCTATCGCTGCAGGCTAGGTCGGGAGTAAAACCCTGGCTACCACGACCTTCAGGCTCGGTCCCGAATGGAAAGAGAAGGCGGGCGCCAATAGCGAGGAGAATATATTCTGCACAGATTAACTGGAGAAGCAGTTGGAAGCCGGACCCGGACACGTCCGGTGCCGAGTGAGCGTTGCCCCAAATGTCAGAGGGAATGCGTCACAGCCTCCAATTATTCTATACGGAATATATCATCCTCCCCACTGGCGTCCGCCCTTTCTTTACATTCAGCACTCGACCAGATGTTTGTGGTTGTCACGGTCTCTTTCTCAGCCTAGCCTGCTGTGACACCCTGTTTCTCACTTTGACCTCGCTATTTGGGTGCCGGGACTCACGTGACTAAATCTGAACATACAGAAGGCGGGCTAAGTCATGAAATGTCAACCGAAATTCCGAAATGCGTTCTCGTTTCGAAAAGATTAATTAAGTAAGGTTGTAAAACTAATCACCGTCCAGCATAATTCTAAAATGATCCAGTTACCTCGGGGTGCCTTCTTTCGAACGAACTTATTTCCGACTGCATGCAACAACTATACTCTGCAAAAAATGACTGCTTAAGTGGCATGCAATTTTCTCATTGATTTTCTATGTCCTTTAGAGTTAAATTATATTTCATGAAAAACTACACAAAACTATTCATTCTTTTATTTATTCCATAGAAAATACCGTCTTCTGTCAATTTTCTTACTCAAAGGAGTAGTATGATTCGGTTTCAAAAAAGTTTCTAATTGTGAGATTCTTTCATACCGTGAAATGACCGTTCATAAAATTTCATGTAACTGCATTTACCAATATGGCTTGTAAAGTTTACAATATCGCTCAAATCCACTGCTTAGTTTCATGAACCCCATATGGTCTCCTCTTAATACTGTAGAGAAATATATGGTTTTCCGTACACGGAAAATATACCGCTTGTAGTTTTGAAACCCTGAATGCAAGTTTAACAGCAGATCGGGTTCAAAATTATTTGTGAATTAGAAAAGTTTTTGAAAATCGAGTTATACTTTTCTTTCGAGTATAAAATGGGAAGCAAACGTGATTTTCTACTGAATAAATAAAAGAGTGAATATTTTTATGCATTTTTTCATGCAATATAATTGAACTCTTAAGGGCATAGGGCATCAATGAGAAAATTACCTGCCACTTAAGTGGACATTTTTTGCAGAGTATAGTTCTTGCATTCAGTCGGAAATAAGTTCATTCGAAAACCCGCATCCTGGGGTAACTAAAATATTAGGAATTGGTGATTGGTTTTACAACCCTATTTAATAAATCATTTCGAAGCGAGAACGCGTTTCGAAATTTCGGTTGACATTTCATGAGTTAACCCACCTACTGCAAACCCAGATTGAATAATCTAGAGGATGGAGATCAAGGGGGAAGTGGGACTGAGTGATCGCATCTCTTTCCGCCATCTTCTACTGTGTATCATACGGCACTATCCCACAGGAATATCACTCCCGACAGGTTTGGGAATCGTTGCTGGATAGGAGGGAAGACGTGATAAACCGCGGTCGGAGCTCCTTCCAGGTGGCGTTTTGAGCCCATGAGGCAAAACAGAATCATCTGAGGCGAGTGCTTGATTTTGCTGATAATTAAAGCACTGCCATGTACGCCTCCTACCCTGTGGTTGATGCTGTACCCCTCTCAATCCTGCTGTTAAATGCCTGATAAAGGGTAAAATACTCCTATTCTCTCAAGAGAATGCTTTTCATTTTACTCATAGGCCCCGTCAAGATATTTCTTTGCCCCGGTTCGAGATGCTGAGGTAGCAACCTTAGACTTCTGGTGAGAGATTAGATGCTAATCTTCTTAAAGATGGTCCGGATGGTAGGCTTCGTAATTCTAAATTTATTTTACATCGTCGAAATGGCTCGTATTGGTTGCCTTCTCGCCCTGGACTGATGTTCACCACGGGCATAGTAGTAATATTTCGACCGTCGTGGGCGAAAGCGTTCACCGCATGTCCCATGGACTGATCGCAGTACCGGTGACTTGCATAGGAAGTAGGTCATGACAGGGCGGACTTGCGTAGCGTCTGCTGCACTCTGTCTTCCGCCACCCACCTTGCTCTGGTGGGAAGATAGTTACAGGGCGAGTGGAGGTGGGCTCGAGTGCAGTGGCTAACAAGGCAAAGGGTAACGATTGGGTGTAAGACCTACAAGCAGATGATAACTACCCTAAAATTTAGTCTGACTGCAAACATCACTTATGATTCATCGTTCCCATTGAAATCTCCTTCCCCTCCTGTCTAAATGCAAACTTGCCAGCGGCGCTTTATTCGGAATCCGTTATTTCCTGAAAATTGCTTTTTGTTTATTTTTTTCACTATTGCGCTCACTTTCTTTGCCAAATGACGGCGTACGATAAGACTTTCGACAAAAAATTTATCTATTTTCTATGTCTTCTTGCTCTCCGTCCTGTGTGTTTCCGCACCACCACTCAACGCATGAAACGGTCCGCAGGCTAGCTCAAGTTAGTTGGGGGTCCTACACCCTATCGTTGCCAAGCCAAGCAGTTTGTCTGCGCGTGTCACTCACGACCTGGCCCCCACTACATTTGGCATACTTTTTGAAGGGCCGTTCAGATCTCGCACGTGCGAGGACGCCATTGCAGCCCGCATCCCACTCGTCCGGTCATTTCGAAATGCGCCCCTGAAAACCCATTTGTCCCGTCAGTTGGCAACGTCACACTTCGCGGCTTGGTGCGTAGGGATGGATCCAACCGATTATGCGTCGTGAGTACGGATTCTCCAGTGTCAACGTCAGTCTGCCCTACCCCACGCCTCAGTCGACTGTCCGAGCCTCTCAGCCAGCGGATTGGGCGCAGCGGCTGACAAAACTGGACAACTCGTCTACATGCACCCTAACACGATCTGGTCTCCATCATTTGTGCCAGGCCTCTGTAAGGGCGGCCCGGACCTCCTAAAAGCCAAATTAATAGGAAGGCATTGCAGCACGACCCGCAATCCGCCAGTCATTCGAGTCTGGTTATAATGCTAGCACCTCAAGCGTACATGCGTCTTCCGTCCGAGAGCCATCGCGTGATTACCGCCCTTGGCGTGAGTGTAACATGCGCGCAATCAGCTCCGAGGGCTGACAACCACAGGCGTCAAAGAAACACAGGAATCATCAAATAAAATCACAAACTTGACGCTAAATGGCGTTCATGTGAGAAAAAAACGAACTTTCGCTCCCACCCTTGCGGAGGAATGCGCGCGCGCGTCGAGAGTTCAGGCTGCTGTCAGACCTTCGTACGGAACAAAAACTTTCTGCTGGGCCCTGTAATTGTGGTGCACAATGTGCGCGCACCACTACGACGGCCAAAAACTAGTGACATTGACGTGATCCTCGACGGACGAAAGTCCGACCTGATTTTAGCCAATCTTCGCATACTCCTCAATGTCGACTTTGTGCCTCTAGTGTCTTCCTTCTCTCCCTCAACATGTATGCCGTACGAAACACGCGCAATTCTGTCTCTGGATCACCCGAACTACCTCTCGTGGTCTGTCTTCAGGTTTTTGTCTTACTTTTTGCCTGTGTAAATCCATAAAACTTAAGGCTTTCGAGACACCCTACACTCTGTCCCATCTTCTAGTCCGGACTTTAGTGAACCTACTTACTGCCAAAGTCAGCGTTCCCTGGAATGCATCGCGTCAGTTACGCCTTCATCTTTCCTACCGACTTGCTAACCCAGCGGTGCACGATTGCATGACCACGCTTGAAGATCCTCTGCTTGCTACCCCGGCTGTGCCCCTGGCACAGATCACACCATTAGCCCTTTCGTCGGTCCGATTGGCTCTTTTCACGATCGTTTCTCGCTCACCAACTCATTGACGCATATCGCTGATTGCAATGTTTGCTCCGTTGTCTATTCATTCCTCCATCCGGCGTCTGGGGAAACTGTAGGCACTTCGTACCGGACACATGCGTCGCATTCGATATCATGTGCATGCGCGCCTTCTACTCCTAGGACAATCAACTGCGTGCGTCCGAAATCCCAGAAGCCATCCAATCGGTTTGTTGCTGGCGACTTCTTGCATGAAATAACTTTACAGTGAGTGACCGATCTCATGAAATGTTGACAGAAATTCGGGAATGCCTTTTTGATTAGGAAAAGTTACTTGGGTAGCGTTTCAATATTGATTATCAAGCGGCATAATCCTATAATGTTTCGGACTCGCCAGGATGTCGGCTATTGAATGCATTTCTTTTTAACCTTCTACAGCAACCGTAGTTGGTAAGAAATGATTACTTAAGTAGTGTGCATTTTTAAAATTGATTTTTGATGGTCTTATAAATTTAAATATATTTTATATGAAACATGAATAAAAATATGCTTTCCTTTGCTCGTTCGGTAAAGAATCACGTTATCTTTGCATCTTATACCTGAAGAAAGGGGTCATTTGGCTTTTGGAAAACTTTCTAATAATGAGATTTTTAAGACCGTGCAATGTTAGTTCATACGACATCGTACATGACCGTTTGCCAATGCTTCTCATGAAATGTAGAACATGGTTCGCATCCACTGCAATATTTTGTGTACTCTACATGGTATCCTTTTAAGGGCATAAAGGAATATACGATTTTCCTTACACCGAAATAGTGCACCTTGTAGACTGAAATTGCTAAAAGCTAATGCAACGGCTGATCAGGCTCAAAATTATTCGGGCATTGGGAAACTTTTCAAAACCTAAATATACCCTTTCTTCAGGTATACAATGTAAAGATAACCTGATTTTCTATAGAACGAGCAAAAGAAAATACATTTTTAAGCATGTTTCGTATAAAATATATTTAAATTTACAAGGCCATCAAAAATCAATTATAAAAATGCACGCTACTTAAGTAGTCATTTCTTACCAAGTACGGTTGCTGTAGGAAGTTAAAAAATGAATTCAAAATCCGACATCCTGGCGAGTCCGAAACATTGTAGGATTATGCCGCTTGGTAATCAGCATCGTAACGGGACCTAAGTAATTCCTCCTAATCGAAAAGGCATTTCCGGATTTCGGTCAACCTTTCATGAGATCGGTCACTATCTGTATTTTATCGGTCGTCTTGACTTGATGGTGAGATAGGCACAACGCAGGTCTGCCCGGGTAGCTACTGCCGGCCAGTCTCGTGCGGTATCAGCGGACGTCGTCATTCCTGACGACCAAACTATCAGGCCGGGCGGAAATTTGCATCACTTCAGACACTGAATCCAACTTCATGTCCAGTCTTGATCTTGTCACTTTTATGCAATTTGGGAAGGAAAGGACAGTGGAGCCAAGCCACTACACACCTCCCTCGCCCTGCGTCCTACCTCCAATGAAATCTCCAAGCACGCTACTTTTGAGCCTGGCTCGTGCATGAATAAATCCCACAGGTGTTCGGCATGCGCAGACGCGGGTTTACTCATGTTAGTCACCGTGATCGCGCCGTAATTTTGCCTTGGTGTTGGAACGTGTTTGGCGTGGCTGGAAGGAGTGAGAAAGATGTCGTGAAAGTCTCCTTCATTATAAACCAATCTCCTCGCAATTCGCAACCACACTCTTGAGACAGTGGTTTGTCTTTTGACAGTCCGTTCACTTAATCCCCTACCAAATGATCCACAGGCTTTTCTTGACTCTGTTCCAACACTTCAACTCTGTTTGGTGCACTTTTTGCGCTTACGCGCCAACGGCGACCTTCTGTCGTCGGCTCTGTATGACGCCCTCATCCGACCAGTGTCTGACCAATCATAGCTGGCGAAAACGTCTGCAAATTTCAAGGCTGATGCGCATATGCCCTCACTCAGGACGTTCGGGCGCCTGCCCCGCGGACACCGGACAGGCGCTACTCGTTCGGTTGCCAACTTCCTCCAACCTATTCGCCTGCCATGTTGTGCAAAATGTAATACCCCTTTTCTTACTGGGGACAGGGCTTAAAGGATGTATTGGTCAGGGTCTGTCTATGGCTTCCGCTTTATCAGTGGTTACGCACCGATCCCACCGGGTGACTTTCACTTCCGAACGTAGAATAAGCCGTCCTTAAAATTATTGCCATCTTCGAACTTATCCATCCGTCATTCGCCTCTTGTCTGGTGGAGTGACGCCAGGTTAGCGACACCTTGAATTTCCCATTATGTAAATCTGGAAGTATGACGAGGGTCTGATTTCGCCAACTAACTGGCACTGAATCTCTCTCACACACACACAGTCCGGCCGTCGTTTCTGATGGCGTCCATTCTGTGCTTCTCAGAAGGGTGGTAGTAATGACAGTGACTTGCGCGTGATGGTAGGCTTGCGCAGCGCATATCGCGCCATCTCCTTCTTGTCCACTTGGGTCCAGTGTCGTGAAAGAGACAAGAAGACCGGAGGCGGGAGGGAATGCAGGTGGCTAACACAGCCAAAACCACACCAGTCAGGATCCCACTGAGTGGGAGCGCCATAGAGGCCATTTCAGTCTGACTCTCAGCTCACCAGTCGACCATGCAACGCACAAAAATACACCGATCTGAGCGGAATCATTAGTTGGAAATCTTTTAAGCCACCGATTTTAGCGCACCTTGATAGAACTCAAGGCCGACAAAGACCTGGTCATCGTGCCGGCGGACAAGGGGTGCTCCACGGTCGTATTGGACAGGACGGACTGCCTTCAAAAAGCCAAAAGCTTGCTGGAGGACCGACAGTTCTATGTCTCACGTGCAAATAACCCTGTAAAAGAGCTGACACGCGAAATTAATGCCACGTTGTTGGCCTTGGAGAACTCAGGTGCAATAACACCGACCGACAGACGCATGGCGAGACCCCAAGATACGGCTTTGGCCCGATTCTATGGCCTCCCTAAGGTGCACAAAGACGGTGCTCCTCTCCGACCCATCGTGTCGCTCAAAGGTACTCCAACGTACGGACTGGCTAATTGGCTATTCCGGCGTCTCAAGTTCCTGTTCGCTGAGTCAGATACCACGTTCTCTTCGTCAGCAATATTCCTGGAGAAACTCAAAGGGGTAAGCATCCATCCAAATGGGGTCATGGTATCTTTTAATTTTATATCCATTTTTACTTCTATTCCTCAGGGCCTGGCGATCGAGACAATCGAGCTGCTTCTACAAAGCAAGGAAACGGAGAATAGTCTTGGACATGCCCAAGTCCTTCAGCGCCTGAATTTCTATCTCAGGACGTAATTCAGGTTTGACGAGACAATCTACGAACAGGTGAAGGGCACACCAATGGGTTCTCCGATTTCGGGATTCATCGCCGAGGCGGTCCTGCAACGGTTAGAGTCGGTGGTCTTCAACACCACAGACCGAAATTCTGGGCCCGATATGTGGATGATACCTTCGTTGTTATTGACCGGGATCAACTGCTGACATTTAAGGAACATCTGAATGCGGTCTTCCCGGACATACAATTTACGACAGAAAAGGAAGAGAACAACCAGCTGGCCTGTCGTAAATCGTAATGTTCTCACGAACTAACGAGTTATATCTCACGAGCCCCTAGCCTTAAATGCAGCAAGTAAATCGGAGCAGTGAATAATATAGAGATTTTTGAACGTTAAGAAAAACTGACAACAGAATGCCACAGCAGAGCACGCTATCAAGGAGGCTTGTACAGGTGTGTCGTTTCTCGTCACATTCAAACAAGCAATGCGGTCAAAGGAAATGGGACTAAATTGTCAAAGGTAAATTAGTCAGGTACCTCACCACAGGCCTTCCTGGATGTCCTCGTATGCTGCAAAGATCGTGGTGGACTAAAGACCAAAGTGTTCAGGAAAACGACAAATACGATGCAAGTACTGAACTTCAACAGCAACCACCTAATCAGCCACAAACGCAATTGTGTAAGGACGCTCTATCGGCGTGTCGAAACACACTGCAGTGAGCCGGAAGACAAGATTGCCGAACTACAATAACTCAGACGGGTCTTCAAAGCCAATGGCTACCCGCGCAACTTCGTCGACCGGTACATACGCAAAAGGGACGAAAGGTCTAACCGCACGGACACCAAATTCTGGCGAGCGCTTCCGTATGTCAAGAACGTTTAGGAAGCTGTCAGCCGCCTTCTCGCACCACTTGAGGTTGGAGTTGCACACAGACCGGAGGCAACCATCAGGCGTCAGGTAATGAAAGCGAAAGACCCACTGCCACAGCAAGAAACGTCTGGAGTCCTTTGTTGGATCTGGTGCAGTTGAGGACAAAGCAACTACTTCAGAGAAACCGGAAGACAGTGCAACGATCCTTGATGAAGGGGGGAGCCGTGAATATTCATAGGTACGCGGTATCATGGCGACTGCATCCTATAAATACTGCAGCCCCTTGTGCATGGACCCCCGTATCTGTTGTTGTCTCTGATGATGGGTTCAGGCAGGAATCCGGAACCTCAGGCTAATAAAAGTCTTCTCCCAGCGATAGTGTCTCCTTCTTCAAGCACCTTGAAAGTCACAAACGCGCTTGAGTGTTAGTAGTAAGGAATTATATGTTGACAGTCAACCTCGCTCACCCTACCCTATAACGTGCACTATTCGACCTCCGAGCCGGCCAACAAACTGATAAAGAGATTTGAAGAGACGATTGGTAGAGCTGAGAACAGCTTATTGACGCGCGCCACACACACACACGAACTGGTCCCCATACTTACAGACACACACACAATGACAGTTCGACCATCGATTTCAATGATGTCCACTGTGGGCCCCAACAGCTGCAGCAGCGGTGGGAGCAGGGACGGTGACTCACGCAGGGGTTTATAGTGCCGGTAGACTTGCGTAGCATCTACCTACACTCTCTCCTCCGCCCCCGCCTGGGCCCGGTGTCAAGACAGAGTCAAGAAGACCGGAGACGAGGGAGGCCGCAGGTGGATGGCTCGGACGGATCCTCACCTTGGCGTTCCACCACACCCCTTGGTCCACACAACAAATAACCAGGATTTCAACCAACAACAGAGATTTGGAGGGTGGCACGGCCTAAGCCGCACCTGGGCGTGCCGCCGACGCCTGGGTCGGATCCCACACTGTGATGGGAGTGCCATAAAGGCCACATTGAAAAGGAGCCATTGCAGCCTGACTCTCAGACCGCCTTCAGTTAAGAAGGAGGTCCAAGTTACCCCGTCGGTTGTCAACCTTCCAAGCCACGGCTTTTAGCGCACCGTGATAGCCTCAAGCGCGTCAGATTGTTTATAGTGAGGAGGAAGTGCGCTGAGTCGTCGACCTCACTCTCCCTTCCCATCCCCACACCCCAGCAGCTGTCCGAGCCGGCCAGCAGACTGGAGTGGGAAATGGGCGCGGTGGCTGCCATGGTCGACTGACCATGACTGCGCGCGCCACGGCACGACCTGGCCCCCCATACACACAACGGGGGTTGAACGGCGTGTCACTCATCTGCGTGAGGGTGTCGTGGAAGGTGCTGTTTCAGCCCGTCCCCAGCCCACCAGTCCGCCACTCCACACAACACACACACACAACGCGACGAACTGCGTGAACCGAGAGCAGCCGTCAATCAGCAACCTTCCTATCCACGACGCTTGACGTGTCGGGATAGTCTCGGACTCAAGTCACCCGTGCAGCCGAAGCCGCATGGGGACCGAGTCGAGATGCGGACTTCCCACTTGCGTGGGAGGTGGCAGTTGGGTGCATGAGGTGTGGGAGTGTTGATGTGTGGTGGGGTGATGGTGGTGATGGTGTAGGGAGGTAGGGAGTGAGTGAATGTGTGGTGTGACCGGCGGTTGTCTACCGCAGGTCGTCGTGGATGCGCATGTGGCCGAATAGGCCCATGCGATGCCTGAAGGTGCGAGGGCAGCGTGGGCGGTTGAGTCGAGCGTGGCGGGTATAGGTTGGTGCTCCAGGCACTGGTTCGCCAGTCTCTGTGCGATGGATTCGCAAGTGACCGACCAGGCCGATGTGTGAGGTGAAGGTGCGGTCGCAGTGGGAGCAGGTGTAGTCCTGATCCTCATCACTTGAGTCGGGGGAGGTGGTGGTAGTGTCGGTCGTTGCGCGCGTGACAGTCGCCTGAACGGCCGCCGTTGGAGCAGTGGAGGATGAGGAAGAGGAGGAGGAGGAGGAGGAGGAGGAGGATGGAAGTGGTGGTTCAGAAGAATTGTCAGAGTTAGTTGTCGACGGAGGGGAGGAAGACGCGGGCGGGGGGTCGATGGTTGGTGCGGTTCGAGAGGCGCAGTTGATCCGAAGATGTCCAACAAGTCCGATTCGAGCCCGGAATGTCCGTTGACATCGAGTACACGCTGGAAGCGGTTGTGGGGCGGCGTTGCGTACTGGGCGAAGTTGGGATTTGCGGGCTTCGCGTTTCGCCTTGGCGGCAGCGATGCGATTGGCTTCGTAGATCGCAGCGCCTGTCTTCACTGTCCTCCTCCAGATCGGTCGATCGAGTGCGAGCTCTTCCCAGTTGGCCGTGTTGATTTGCAGGCGTTTCAGGGAGGACTTCAGGGTATCCTTGTAACGGCGAATCTGGCCTCCTTGACGGCGAGAACCCATCGCGATGTCTCCGTAGAAGAGTCGTTTGGGTAGTCGCTCGTCGTCCACGCGCACCAGGTGGCCGCTCCAGCACAGCTGCATTTGTCTCAACATGGAGTAGATGCTGAGGATTCCCGTTCGTTCCAGTACTTCAGTGTCGGGGATTCGATCCTGCCAGTTCAGCCTCAGGATGCGACGAAGACAACTGAGGTGGAAGTGGTTCAGTCGGTGTGCCTGCTTTGTGTACACCGTCCAAGTCTCCGTTCCATACAGTAGCGTCGGCAGGATGACGGCCTTGTACATCTTCAGCTTCGTGCTTGGTTGAAGATTGTGACGGTTCCAAACTGTGCTTTGGAGGCGACCGAAGGCTTGACTGGCTTTCAAGATCCTGTTGGCGACTTCGTCGCCGATCTTGGTGTCGCGGGAGAGGGTACTGCCCAGGTACGGGAAGTTCTTCACCACTTGCAGTTGGGTTCCGTTCACGCTGATTTGCGGCGACGCGTTGGAGGCTGTGGCTGAGATGGGTGACGGTTGGTGCATCACCACCGTCTTCTGCGTGTTAATGACCAGACCGAAGTTTTCGCAGGCGGCGGAGAATAGGTCCATGCCCCGTTGCATCTCCTCTTCCGAGGTGGTGTTCAGGGCGCAGTCGTCGGCGAAGAGGAGTTCGTGAACGGTGGTTGTGGATACGCGCGATTAGAAGTGCATCCGCAGTTGATTCAGGAGGTGACCGTCCGTCCTGTAGGCGATGCGGATCCCGGGACGTTCATCACGGTAGGCGTCCATCAGCATGGCAGAAAACATAAGACTGAAGAGGGTAGGCGCCAGCACACAGCCCTGCTTCACTCCGTTGGTCACTGCGAATGCCTCTGAGACAGCTCCGTTGTCCGTGACTCGCGCCATCATACCGTCGTGCAGCTGACGCACCATCTGAGTGAATCGTTCCGGACAGCCGAATTTCTGCATGACCTTCTACAGTCCTTCACGATTCACCGTGTCGAAGGCTTTCGTCAGGTTCACGAAGGTAGAGTATAGGTGGGTCCGCATCTCCTGACACTTCTCCTGAAGTTGACGGGCGGCGAAGATTATATCCGTGGTCCTACGATGACGACGGAATCCGCATTAGCTTTCCGGCAGAAGGCCCTGTTCCAGATGGTTATTGAGGCGGTTGAGAAGGGTGCGAGCGAAGATCTTTCCGGCGATGTTCAGCAGGGAGATGCTGCGGTGATTGTCGCAGACTTGGCGATTCCCTTTTCGCTTATATAGGTGCACGATTGTTGCGTCTTTGAAGTCTTGCGGGACTTCGCCTTGACGCCACATCTCCTGGAAGGGCGCAGTCAGGTGATCCATGAGTTGGGGACCTCCGTGCTTGTATACCTCAGCAGGGATTGCGTCCGATCCGGGTGCTTTCCCGCTGGAGAGCTGCTGCACGGCCCTGATGGTCTCCTGAAGAGATAGCGGGAGGTCGAGGTCCAAATTGGTCTCCACTTGCGGCAAACGCTCGATGGCGGCGTCGGAGATGGCGGAAGGGCGGTTTAGGACGACTCGGAAATGCTCGGCCCATCGCTGCAGGATTTGCGTCTTCTCAGTCAGGAGAGTGGTGCCGTCGGCGCTGAGGAGAGGAGCAGTGCCCTTCGTCGGCGGTCCGTAGACATCTTTGATCGCAGAGAAGAAGTTCTTCCATTCGTTGCGGTCCGCGTATCCTTGGATCTCCTCAGCTTTGCGAGCAGTCCAGGCGTCCTGCATCTCGTGCAGTCGTTGCTGAAGTTGGTGGCGACTGCGGTAGAAAGCAGCTTTGTTCTCCTCATTGGGTAGATCTGCATAGGCTTTGTGTAGGCGGTTCTTCTCAGCAAGCAGGTTTCTGATGGCGGCGTCGTTGTCGTCGAACCAGTCCTGGTGTTGGCGGGGAGCGCGACCGAGGACGGAGAGCGCCGTCGACTGGACCGTGTCTCGCAGTTGACACCAGCGGTTCTCCACGGAGGCATTCTCGGCAGCGGCGGCGTCGTCGGCAGCGGCAGCGATAGGAAGGTTGTCTAGCCTTTGAGCTAGCTCATTGCTGAAATGAAGACGGTGAGCGGGCAAAGACAACAAAGCAACATTCAGCTTACCTGGGGGTCGCTTACCTTGTGGTCTCTTGCGAGGCTGTAGGCGAATACGCATCTTCGAGATGACGAGGCGATGGCCGGTCCACCCGTCAGCACCCACGATCGCCTTCGTCACCAGCACGTCCCGCTGATCTCGCCTCCGGACGAGGACATAGTCCAGCAGGTGCCACTGGCGCGACCGAGGACGCCGCCAGGTAGACTTCTCTCGCTCCGGCAGACAGAAGAACGTGTTCGTCAGGATGAGGCGGTGTTCTGCGCAGGTGCGGAGCAGCAGCAGGCCGTTGTCGATTGAGCCGCGGAGACCGTGGGGACCCAGCACTCCTCTCCAGGCAGTATGGTCAGTGCCTACGCGGGCGTTGAAGTCGCCAAGGACAATCAGCTTGTCCGCCTTCGTAGAATTTGTCTCTTGCGGCGGCGTCGGGGCTGCTCATCGGCGGAGCGTAGGCGCTGATTATGGTGGCGAATTTGCCCCCACCTTGGAGAGGCAGTCGGAGGCTCATCAGGCGATCGTTGATGTCCTGCGGCAAACAGGGCAGTCGTCCCACGATGTCGTTCCGGATGGCGAAGGCGATGCCCGCGTCTCGTCGCTCTGCCTTGGGTCGACCACTCCAGAAGAAGGTGTAACCGGCACCCACCTCCTCCAGTTGGCCTTGTTCGGAGAATCGGGTCTCGCTGAGTGCGGCGATGTCCATCTTGTAACGCGCCAGTTCTCGTGCCACTAGCGCCGTCCTCCGTTACGGTCGGTTGCTCCTCGGATTGTCTAAAGGGGAACGAACATTCCACGCTGCCAGAGTGAGCGGGCTCACCCTGCCAGTCTGGCGACTGCGGCGGCGAAAAGTAGGAGTAGGAGAAGAAGAAGAAGAATAGGCTGGAAGAGGAAGAGAGTGATTGTTGTTGTTGTTTCGGTTTTGGCTGTCTCGACCGTGTGGTTTTTTTGTCTGCGGCCACGGCCAGCCTACAGACAGCGTGGTTCCCAGCGATCTTTAGGGCACCTTTTCTAGCCCCCTCCCCCTAGCGAGGGCAGGCAACGCATCCCCGAACAGGGCTGCCCGGTTATCCCAGACGGCTGCCGGACTCCACTATGGGCCACTTTTTGTTAGTGAGAGAACGACCCGAATTAGCCTGGGACCTTGGTGGTGATGGTGATGTGAGGGAGTGAAGTAGGAGAGAGCATACACACAACCTAACGCTATGGGACTTACAGCTAGCTAGGGTGGACAAGCGGACACGGTCATCAGTCAGATACAAATGTGAGGGCACCACTCAAAGTCAAGCACCGTAACACGTAGCTATTAGCAGAGAGAGGCATAGACTGACAGACATACAGTCGCAGCAGGCATCGAGAGTTTCATTTAGCTATTAACAGACAGACTAGCATATAGAGGGCAGGCAGCAAGAGCAGCATACGACACGGCACTTCAACAGACAAAAGGAAGAAACAGAGCAAATGCACTTACCTGAAGAAGAACTTACCTGGTGGCCTCCTGCGATGGTCCAGGAAGAGCCTCGTCTCGACGGTGTCGACGCGAAGATCCATCCGGCTAGCGCAGACCGCATTACAGCGCGTGCAGATGCACGCACGGATACCCTCACCTGGTTTAGCCCGTCGGTGGAGACGGTTGCCCGGGGTGTGGCCGCTGAGCAGAGCCCAGGTACATGGAGCCACAGGTGAGAGTTAGGTGCCAGCAAGTGGACGCTAGGCGTAGTCTCACCTGCAAGCAAGTGAGCGACCACTACGACCATCACGTGAACCCACCGCTGAAACCCCTACACCTCACGCACACACGACAGTTCGACCGTCGATGTCGACGATATCCACCGTGTGCCCCACAGACTGCATTGTGGGAGCAGGGACGTGACTTACGCAGGGGTTTATAGTGCCGGTAGACTTGCGTAGCATCTACCTACACTCTCTCCTCCGCCCCCGCCTGGGCCCGGTGTCAAGACAGAGTCAAGAAGACCGGAGACGAGGGAGACTGCAGGTGGATGGCTCGGACGGATCCTCGCCTTGGCGCTCCACTCCGCGCCCCCTGGTCCACACACAAATGACCAGGATTTTGACCACAATACAATGGGGTGATGGCAGTGGTCCAGTTGTGCGGCGATTGCCGACAACGGAGTCTGCCAGCGCACCCCGCAAATGTTGGCATTTGTTATTGCGCACAGATAACGCCTGCCAGAGTCCGATGTGGCCGCCGTGTTGGTCCAGCACATCTAACACGTGGCCCGTTTAGAGGGCACACACACACACACACACACACACAGGATTTCACTAAAGAGGGGGTAGTCTGCTCGGATCCCAAATTTAGCAGATGAGAAAAGAGCTGAAGAGCACACCTTCATTTATGTGAGGTGCTGGTGGTGTAAGATGTTGGAGCTATTCATTTTTGTGGAGCATGCGTTGGTGGAGGAAATACGCGGGGCTTTGGTCCCGCTTGCGGGTAATTACCGTAAGTTTTCATGGGGTTCCATGTGGCCAAATAGGCCCATGCGAAAGTGCGAGGACCGTGCGGGCAGTTGAGATGGTGGCGGTGGGTGTATGTCGGTGCTCCAGGCTCTGGTGCGCCACTCTCTGTACAATACATCCGCAAGTAACCCACCAGGCCGATGCGTCACATGCATGCACAGCGACAGCTGGTGGCGGGCTTGCTGGTTGATGCTGAATTGATTGAGTTGGGGATAAGGGAGTCTGCGGATGTGCAAGGTGCGTTAGGTGTGTCAATATTGAGATGAATTCCACTTAAATTCCCTGAGTAAAGGGCGACACGCAGTCCCGTGGGCAGTCCAGGTTAAGTTGGATCACTCTTTACTAAACAAGGTGATGAGCCATAATGGACTTGGACGGCCGTCTGGACTGTCTAAACAGCCTTATTTAGGGAAGGTGACCTAAATAAATGCTGGGAAATCATGCCATCTGCGAGTATACCGTGGCTCGTAGATGCAAACCTCGTGGTCGAAGTCCAATAAATAACCTCCACAACCCTTGTTCCTCTGTTTTCCGTTCCAACCCAAAGGCTGCTAAGGTGAGTCCACTCTTTCAGTCTGCCTGTAATGTTAGGAGCAATCGGCCGGTTTGTAGGACGGCGCTCTACAAGGTGGACGCCGCTGCTCCCGTTGAGACCCGCTTCACCGAACAAAGCCAACTGCAGACGGTGGGTGCCAGCTACATCTTCTCCTGTGGAAGACGCCCAAAGTCAGAAAGATGCGGTAATGGCGTCGCCTTTGCAATCCGTGACGACATATTGGTAAAAGTGCCCTGAAGAAGGAGACACGATCACTGGGACAAGGGCTTTATTAGCCTGACGTTTCGGATTCCTGCCCGAACCCATCATCAGTGACAAAAGCAGATACGGGTGGCTCATACACAAGGGACTGCAGTATTTATAGGATGCAGTCATCATTGCTACCGCATACCTATGAATATTCACGGCTCTCTCCCCTTCATCAGGGATCGTTGCACTTGGTGTGCTAACTGTTTGATAGCCGACATTCGCGTCGTTAATTGCTGCACTTTCATCACGTGAGTTGGATGATGGTGTGATGATTGCTCGACCATCTGACGCACCGACCCTGGCGTTGGGAAAAGTGTTGACCTGTGCGCTTCCCACGTGGATAATTACTCCGCCTAGGCGAAGTCTCAGCACTGAGTATGGAAGGGGAAGGTCATTGCACTTGCTAATGGACTGGGGGGCAGCAAACCATGACTCAAGCAGCTCCCAGCTCACGCTGTTGTCACCTCTGGCGAGAATTTCGGCCTCGTCGAATTTGAATGTGTGACCGGATCTGGTCGAATGGGCCGCAACTTGAGAGTTGACGTCATTTCTCCGCACCGCTGCAGCGTATTCGGCCATTCTCGTTCGGATCTGCCTTCCGGTTTTTCCGACGTATTTGCTTTGTCCGCAACTACATCAGATCCGATCAACGACTCCAGACGTTTCTTGCCATGGCAGCCGGTCTTTTGGCTTCAGTTCCTGACGCCTGATAGTTGCCTCCGTCTGTGTGCAACTCCAACCTCAAGTGGTGCGAGAAGGCGGCCGACAGCTTCCGAAATGTTCTTGACATACGAAGGTGCTTGCCAAAATTTGGGGTCCGTGCAGTTAGGTCTTTCGTCCCTTTTCCGTATGCACCTGTTGACGAAGTTGCGCGGGTAGCCATTGACTTTGAAGACCCGTCGGAGGTATTGCATTTCGGCAATCTTGTCTTCCGTCTCACTGCAGTGCGTTTCGACACGCCGATAGAGCGTCCTTACACAACTGTGTTTGTGGCTGATTGGGCGGTTGCTGTTGAAGGTCAGTACTTGCATCGTATTTGTTGCACCGTTGCACCTTGGGGCTCGACCTAGAGCTCCACCAGCAATCACACAGCGACAATCAGTATCGGCAGCATGAGATAGCCGACAAGGACCAGTGAGGCCAGGATAGCCATGTCATACCCAACCCCAAGGTATGCGACCCCTGGGCTCGAACTCGCGACCTGTCAGTTAGGTGTCCAACGCTATCCACTGAGCTACGGGCTTGTTGTCCTGTGGGTTTCGATCACATATATTGACAATAGTCTGAAGTAGCCAAAAAAAGGCAGGAGAGGTTGGAATGAGCATGCTTGGCTTATTAGCCATCCACAGTCAGACGTATCAAACCCCTAGGGTTCGAGGCCGGGATCTTTGTTCATCACGTCTAACGCCCTACCATTTTGCCTCAGGCCCGTTGTCCCGTCAGTTGCGATCGCGAATATTGATTTTGTTGGAAAGACGTTCATCGATCGGGCCACGGGCCTGCTCGCCCCCTTGTGTTTGGGAACTGGGTCTATAAATCCGCAAACAGTCTCACAACGACCAGTAATATATGCAGAAACAGATTACTGACAAGGGCAGGGGAGCCTGGGATGACCATTTCTGGCTTGTTAACCGTCCTCGAATAGACATACCCAATCTCAAGTCTGGGTAGTTTGTGGAAAACCGCCCTCGTAGCCGCTGACGCGGTCGTTCGCCCATGCCGCCCATGTCAATCACTGTATGCGCGCATATGACTCAGCCTTTGGGAAGCCCACGCCGTGGCGTCGATCAATATTTTTGTTTTCATCGATAGTTCGCAGTCGCGCTAAGCACTGACGCAGACACACCCTATGCGCCCGGACGAACTGTTTAGACGGTCGACGTGGGTGTTGAGAGCACTTGTTTTCACCGCCTGTTGAGCCGCGCGTACACTCCCTCGCCGCTGTTAGATTTGCTCTACCGAGTCCGTCTTTGCTCACTTGTAATTTGGGAACTCTCTTGTTCCTGGGCATTGTACTTCGACAGAACCATTGTCTTGGAGGTTGCGCGTTCATCGTTCGAATTGCGGGACAGCCGTCGTGATCCTGCCATGCCATGGCTAGTTGTATCCGACGGGCCAACTAACTCGTGGTTCTGTGATAAACTCCGGGTTCCATTTCCTAATTATCCGAACGCGGGTTGGTTATGGTTGTCTGGCAACGACTAAACACCCCAAAACAACCCTCTCGGTGTTCTTTATCTTCATCAGTATCCTTCTTGGAAGTCCGACATTCCCAAATACCAAGTCAACCAACACTGCCAATTGGATACCCGAAATTAAATATTTTTTTAACCCCAAAAGAATCATTGACGAGAAAACTGGGCATCCAAGACTTTAAGGTGAGATGATACCATACCCACAGCACAGGTACTAACCAAGAGCCCATATACGCGTGTTTCGCCGATATTCTGTCGCTGTATGGCGCAGCTGCTAGGGGTTCAGCTCGCCAGTAGATTCCTTAGCGTTCACCGTCTGTTTTCTGGTAGATACTTAAATGTAGAAATTGTCACTTTTTAATTTCCTCAGAAATTAACTGCGAACATGAAGTAGATCAGTTTATTCAAGGTTTATAGGCTCAGACCGAGAATTTTGTACAGGAATATTTGGGCCAAAGTCCATCAGCCACAGCCGGTAACCGCGTAATACTCATTAACTGCCGATAGGCAGTTAGCAGTATACATTAGGGTAAGGTGATACCATACTCACAGCACACGTAGTAGCCAAAAGCCCAAACGCCAATATTCTGCCGCTGCATGGCGCGACATGGAGTATCTACCAGTAAACAGACGGTGAACGCTGGGGTACCCACTCACGAGCTGAACCCCTCGCAGGTGCGCCATACAGCGGCAGAATATCGGCGAAACACACGTGTATGGGCTGTTGGTTAGTACCTGTGCTGTGAGTTTGGTATCACCTTACTCCAAGTTCATAGGTAATTTTTGTGGAAATGAAAAAGCGAAAATCCAAGATTTTGCAGAATTTGTCCGATTTGCAGATTACTTACATCCTTTAACAGTGCTCTATTTTTGAATAGATAAGCCAGACCACCACACAATCCTGAAAGGTGGTCTAAGTGATCTTCGGAGCGTCAATAATTGTCTGTACGGGTAGGCTGTTTGATAACATCGCTGCAAGTGAATTGGTGCCTATCATCCCACTTGCATGAGAAGGGTTCGAAATCCACCTAGGGCATCGTAAGCGTGGCGACAACAGCCACCATTCAGAGCACAGCAAAAGAACAAGCCACCATCCGGAGCTTAAAATCTCGTCTGCTCGCCTGACATGGCAGCGCTTTCCACCCCCATGGGACGGCTAGCTGATCAGGAGGGTCGCAGCTGCAAGGCCGCTCCAGCCGCCTTTCAGCATGCGCTTTAGACTGTCAGGCTCATACGACAGTTCGACCGTCGATTTCGACGATGTCCACCGTGTGTCCCACAGACTGCATTGTGGGAGCGGAGACGCTGACTTACGCAGGGGTTTATAGTGCCAGTAGACTTGCGTAACATCTACCTACACTCTCTCCTCCTCCCGCGCCTGAGCCCGGTGTCAAGACAGAGTCAGGAAGACCGGAGACGAGGGAGGCCGCAGATGGATGGCTTGGACGGATCCTCGCCTTGGCGCTCCACTCCGCACCCCCTGGTCCACACAAAAATGACCAGGATTTTGACCACAAAACAATAGAGTGATGGCAGTGGTCCAGTTGTGCGACGATTGCCGACAATAGGGTCTGCCAGCGCGCCCCCTAGATGCGGGCATTTGTTATTGCGCAAAGATAACGCCTGCCAGAGTACGATGTGGCCCCCGTGTTGGTCCAGCGCATCTAACACGTGGCCCGTTTAGAGGCCTCATACACACAGATTGATCAGTTAACGTGACCTTGACGTGCACACTAGATGATGTGAACGAGGCAAACTTAACCGAACCGTCGACCAGCGGCTCCTTCTGTGCTAAAGTCAATGTTAGCACTAGCTACCAGCCGCCTGTGCGGTCCAACTAAATAAAAGCGCGGTCTTCTTGGTTTTGTTTCCTCGTGGATTCTCGTTTCGAAACGCACTATCGTCATTTGTGCTGCCCGGTGTACCCAGAAGATGCGTTTGAGTAGGTCCTAAAACCTAACCATCGTCCTGGGTTTTGGCATTTATTTGACTTCAGTTCATGATAACATCATTTGGAATATCGTAAACAAAATCTCCTAACGTTAGCAACCTTGGGTTTTGCCCAGAAAATAAGCACCTGACAGCAAAAGATTCGAAATCGCTTACACATGCCTCACTATCAAGATTGAAATCTGATTCATGCCAATGTCTCTCCTTTACCCCATCTAATCAAGAGATAAGGGAAGTGTCGATGTTTCTCGGCAAAACGCCATCTGACAGTTGGTTCTTCGAGTGTTTAAGTTCTAACCTAAGCAACGGGAGGAATTCCATTGTTTGATCGAGTCGCAATCATTACGAGATCAAAGGTGAGCGGGCTTTCAGTCCGCCTTCTGGTACGGTAGGCTGCTTTGTTTTCCGATGCTTGGAGCCTCTGACACATGTCGGCGTGTTTCTCCTGAATTTGCTGGGCTCAACATAACTCGAGGACCCTCGAATGTCTGGGTTCAACGGCAGCACCCTTGGAATCATATATTCTCACGTTCAGATGGTGTAAATAGTGCCAAAACGCGTTCCATCGCGTTTCGTTGGTATAGTTTTGAGTGCACACACATGAACATCGACTGTCTACACTCATGCAATCGCTCTTTCGTCCCTCCTCGATCGCGGGGTTGCGTTCCAGAATCCTCAGCGAGATGTGAAAGTCCACGAAATTAAAAACCAAATGTTTTTATCGTCGTCTTTATGTATTTTAGGCCTTTACAACCCGCCTTCCACATTCTCGTAGGTATTTATCACACAGTTATACAGCATGAAACCTGTATATCCTATTAAATATCAGGTAAAATTCGCTGAAATACTTTACGTAAACACAATGTTTATGCACAAAGAACAAACATAAGCACAGCAGTTAACACTTTACACATCGAAACACGCTCATACTGAATGCGTTAGACGAGACGTCGGTTAAAACAAAGCTAGATCGAATGTTGCTCTCCCTTGCTGAGCCAATCAGCGGCCAATACACTTAGCCGCGTGCTCTGATTGAGTAGTTTATCGGTCATCCCGTCTATGAAATCAAGCGGGCAAACCAACTAAGAAAGTGTGTACCAGAAAGAAAATGGCCCACAAACCAGCGAAAAAACCCCGGTTCGTAGCTAGACGTGCCTGCATCTAAAATCCACCGTGGAGCAAAGCCACGAAAGTCAAAGCACAATATAGCGAGCGACTACTGTACCTAGCAAAGCGTTTCTCCTTCCCATTTTAATAATTAATTTTCGAGATCTGACTGCGCAACCTGTCTCCAAATTTTACGACCATCTGTCTTCCAGGGACCTAAGTCTGACTTGAATGTTATTCGCTGACTTCCAAGTGGCCTTCCATTGTTCTTGCATTCTAGCATGCGTGCGTAGAAGTGAGCACGCATCGTTTTAATGCAGTAACTTTCCCCATGGCGCTGATCGTACTTTTGCACTGCACTGCTCGTTCGTGCGAACTAGTGGCGCTTTTCGTCCACCTGACCGATCAAGTACCGTCAAAATTGATGCCAGTTTTTCTGTGTAGAAATGCATTAACAGTGTCGAGCTGGAATGACCCAACCTTTTGCCCTTTTCCGAAAACTGGAGCGTATACCCGAAAGCACATGCAGGTGGGACGTTGGGAGACCGACCGATGAGCCGGAACTGTGCTGCACAGCGTCAGAATATCGGCGAAACACGCGTGTATGGGCTTTAAACTAGCATCCGTGCTGTCAGTACGTTGAATCATGACTTTGTGATCGCTTGCACGCGAGCTGCACATGTGCCGTGTTAAATGGTTCACGGTGAACCTAGACAAAAGTCTGTTTTCCCTGGGCCTCCGCTTACGGCGGCCAGCCATGCGTCTGAGTTCTGGTGTCTGTCATGTGTCACTGTCACCCTACACACCGTGGTATTGCGTAACGAACAAGAAGTTTTTCAACCTGAGCCGTCGTCTGCGAGACGCATTCCTTGTGTTTTATTCAAACCTTATTTTTCGAGTTTCAAGCACCTTAACAGTCCACTCTGAATTTTTTTAAATATTTCGCTCGGAACTGCACTTTGTCGATCGCAGTCTGGTAGAACACTTCACTCTCTTGTAAAAAAAAACGCTGCAATTTTAACGATTCTTCAACCGGAAAATTCTTCTAGACGCAAAATCGGATCTTTCTTAGACGTCCAGAGCATGATTATTGTTTTGGAGTTACTACAAAGGGGTTTTACCTGATGCTGCTACCTTAAAATTGGTTTTTAACTATAAGTACAGGGCATTGTCGTCTACTGATTCCACAAAAGATCCACTACGACTGAAAAGTCTTGTTCTCAACGTGGCTGTCATAATCTGACGGTGACTTGCCCCGATGTACTCCGATTGCAAGACGGCGATGAGTATTCATCATTTGTCTTGGGGATAAGGTTATGCAGTTTAAACCCGTTTTCGCACTATTGGTAATGGTTGTGACCAGAAAGGTTTTTAACTTTCAAGACAAGTTAGTACTGCTGAGAGCTGAATGTTAGGCCAGAATAGTTCCTTTCTACGCCGACCCCTATAGCACTCTAAATTACATGAGATCCAAGATTCCTCTTCCTCCTCTTCCTCCTCCTCCTCCTCCTCCTCCTCCTCCTCCCCCTCCCCCTCCTCCTCCTTCTGCCTTGACGCCCGATCCACGCTGGACGTGGAACCATGCGCGCGTGTAACACGCGCAGACGCAACTTCAGCCTCATCATCCATTTCTTTTATGGTAGTTTGGCCTTAATCCGGTCATACTATTCGGACATGGTCAGTGGGGTAAGCGTGTGATGTATATGCTGTCCAAATGTGCCGCACTGTATACAAAATCACACACAAGTACTCGTGGCGTCCTGGGGACAGTGGTGGGCCTCGTCGTCCAAAACAAACCTACTACTTTAAAAATATAAATGAGGTGGGACCGCTTGGCCAGAATAGCCTCATAGTTGGACAAACAGGGGTTGGACTCCGAGTGGGTGTAAGTGTTAGATTACACATTACACTCAGTTAGCTGGTGCGACTGCAAGTCGACAAAAATTACAAGAACTCCCTTTCGAACATAAGGGCTGAGCATCCCTTTAGGGAAAGAGGGGTTCTATGATTCCACCGCACGAAGGAGGCGCAGTACAAGAAATCACCTCTGCCGAGAACAGAACGAGCAAAACCGAATTCGAGCCTCGTTTTGGGAAATTTTATCGACGATAAAGAGGACAACAGGATGGTCATATCTGGTTTTTTTGCTCACACTACAATGGTGAGAGCGTACGTCGATGGTCAAATGACTCCAGACTAAACTTTGGTCGTTCAGATAGGGTCGGGAAACTACTGGTACCTAACAGCAACTAAGACTGAAGTGGTCATTTCGGGGTCTTTATCGTTATCGACAGTAAAAACCCCCTGAAGTATCTACCGTCGGCTTTTTAGTTTCCACTGGACCTGCCCACAGCAGAAGAATGACTACGCTTCACCACCAGCTACTGGAGATTGTTAAAGTTCGAAAACCGAGATATCTCCTCTAGCCAATGTCAAACATTTGCACTCCCAAACGTCCGGTATTCCGGTGGTGGAAGCAAGAAGGGTCACCTAAGTTCTACAGTTGCGTATGGGACATCCCTTCAGGCTGCTTTTCGAAACTATCTTCGACAGGGTTGTGTCCCCTGGAAAACATTTGCCACTGTCATCTTTTCTGGATACGTCTGACCTCAACTTCTCATCCAAGTTCAGACTCACTGACCTCAGGCGCTCTGATCACGCCGATCACCTGTGCTCAAAATTTAGTGACATGCAACGAGCAGCTGGTAGCCTTAACAGGGTCACCAACTCCGTTGTCCTGACAATCACCGTCACGGGGTACACATTTTAATTGCACTGCACTGCAGGCGGAGAAAAACTGCTCGCGTACCTCAACAACGCTCAAACCGAGGAGGCAGACAACTTATGTTACCCGAAACTGACTCCTTCTGCGAGTGGATAGGACAGGAGTATGCTTCAGTCTTGAACTCGCATGACTCAGTACAGTCACCAGCACCCTCAAAACCAAGACCCAAATCAACAGTATTACCGAGGATTTTTGATGTGATTTTGGATATGAAGTATACCATGAACAAAACAGTCTGGATATTTCACCCGGACTGCACCAAACTGCATACATGCCAGGGGCATCTGAAAACACATACAGTAAAAACTGACTTTTTCATGGCTAGCTGAAATTTTGCGAGTCAGGATAATAGCAGGCGGTCCAATCGTCGCAAACGACGATATCCACTATCTGTTTCACGACATGGTTGACGAGGACCTTTATTTGTGCCTGAGTAAGACTATAGTGAGGTAGACTTGAGCAGCATCTACCAAACACTGGCCTTCACCCACCCCGGGGCCCGGTGGAAAGAAATAGTCTAGATGACCAGAGGCGGGCTGGGGCCCGTCTACGCGCGCCACATACACGACATCCCGCTCGCAGAGTGTGTCGCGCTTTCAAAGGGGCTGCTCCGATGCTGCGTGTGAGCCACACTAGGAAGGAGCCATTCCAGCTTGGCTATCAGTTCTGTCAGCCATCTTGCGGCGAGCTTCGACAAAGTGACTAACGCGGCGTGAGGCCCACGCCTAGGTGTGCTCGTGCTGACTCTTCGCTGCCCGATTAGCGCGTATAGTGAGAAAACCTGACTTCCGTTGTGGTCCAGCGCATCTGCGGTGTGGTCCATATTGGACGCACAACAGGATAATAAAAGTACGTTTGCAGAGTTAACCAAGATAGTTGCGGTAGTTCGGAACACACGATGCAACGTTGGGCATCGGAAGTTCAGCTCGGCCGTAAAGTCAGCAACTTCCGACTGAGCAAGTTCTTTTGTAGAGCACTGCACGAGAATTTGTACTACACAACCTTTGACTGTCTAGCCTCTTGACGTTGAAACCAAAAGTGCTCAACTCTGACCAACCAAAAACGCACAGCATTTTGGCATTGGAGTTTTACCGGTAAAAGGCAGGACGAGTTTCCGACCGACTATACAGTAGGTGGGCTAACTCATGAAATGCCCACTGACATTCCGAAATGCGTTTTGGTTTTGAAAAGATTAATTAGGTAGGTTTGTAAAACTAGTCAGTCTGCAGTATAATTGTGGAATAATTCAGTTTCTTCAAGCTGCCGGCTTTTGAATGAACTTGCTTCGGACTGCACGCAAAAACTTTACTCCGTATAAAAGTGGCTACTTATGTAGTATGCATTTTTCTCATTGATTTTCGATGCCTCTAAAGGTCTAATTATATTTCATGGAAAACATGCATAAAAATATTCATTATTCCGCTTATTCGGTAGAAAATTACATCTTCTTTCAATTTTATACTCACAGGAAGGGTTTAATACGGTTTTCAAAAACTTTTCCAATTCCCGAATAACTTTGAGCCCGCTCTGCCATCACACTTGGATTCAGGGTTTCGAAACTACAAGCCGTATATTTTTCGCGTGCGGAAAACCACACATTTCTCTACGGTAATAAAGAGGGACCATATAGGGTTCAATAAATTTAGCAGTGGATTTGATCCATATTGTTAACTTTACAAACCACATTGGTAAATGCAGAGATATGACGATTTGCGTATGGCCATTTCACGGTATTTAAAAGTCCCACAATTAGAAACTTTTTTAAAACCTAATTATGTCTGTCTATCGAGTATAAAAGTAGAAGAAGACATAATTATCTACCGAATGTGCAAAAGAATGAATATTTTTATGCATGTTTTCCATGAATTATAATTAGACTTTTAGGGGCATTGAAAATCGAGGAGAAAAATTCCTGCTACGTAAGTAGTCATTTTCTACAGAGTGTAGTTTATGTATGCAGCCGGAAGAAGTTCGTTCGAAAGCCGGCATCCTGTGGCAACTGTATTATTATAGAATTATACTGCAGATTGATCGGATTTACAAACCTACTTAATTAACCTTTTCGAAACGAAAACGCATTTCGGAATTTCGGTCGACATTTCATGAGTTAGCCCACCTACTGTATGGTCTCTCCGAAACATATATAGCGTTCTTCGCAGACCGGGTTATTGTCGAGTCAATTCCGAAAGGAGGAAGCATCCTGCTCAAATTTGAGGCATGAAATCCTTCGGTTGACGATATGCCCCCCCCCCACCTTCTGCACAGTTCGCCTGGGCTCACGTAAGATTGACAGGGGTCGGAGACTTGTGATGTAGTCAAGAAAAGGCTCATCACCAATTGGCAAATGCATTCATTCACGAACCAGGGCGTCTCTTGCGTGTTGCATGGTACAGACGGATGAATATTTCTTAGTAAATAAATAGGAGAATTCAGGATTCTATCTGGGAAATTTTAATAGTTAGTCTCTTCGCTTCTATTGGCAGTTAGTACTAACCCGTCGTCAGGTCAAGGGCAAGGTGGACTGTGTTAGGGTATAAGTGGAAAGGGGGGGAGAGACACGACCAATGTCTTCGGGCAGCCTACGCGAGAGCAGGAAAGAGGAAGTTTGTGATTCCTTTCAGATGCGAACGGTGAGATGGATAGTGGGTCCACGGAATGACCAGATGGCTTTCTGTAGCCCCGAGCTCATTCTAGGTGGCTCAGTATGGAGATGGTAGAGCCTTCATACTCCAACAACTAAACATCTCGGGGCCCTTCTGCTCCAGATTCACACAGGCTGGAATCTAAAAATGGCCTTTTAAGGAAGGGAAGCACGCAAAGTGCAAAGAGTAACAAGACAGAGCGGTGGAGGATGACGAGGTACCGTTGGTGAAAGATATCAAGTTTTCCTAAATAATGAGAGAATAAAAAAACAAAATAAACCAAAAACAGGCGCACAATCACTGCGTGGTCTCATGACATGTTGACAGCCATTCTGAAAGGTAAGGGTTAAGTTTACAGTCAGAGTTTGTTTTGTGGTAGGATTACGACACGGGAACGGGTACCTCCTGAAATCTAGCACAAGACCATCAATAGAAGCGAAGAGACGAGTCCCAGGAAGAAGTCTTGAAGAAGGAGACACGATCTCTGGGACAGGAGCTTTATTAGCCTGACGTTTCGGATTCCTGCTCGAACCCATCATCAGAGACAAATGCAGATACCGGTGGTTCATGCACAACGGGCTGTAGTATTTATAGGATGTAGTCGTCATTGCTACCGCATATCTATGAGTATTCACGGCTCTACCCCCTTAATCCGGGATCGTTGCACTTGGTGTGATGACTGTTTGATGGCCGACATTCGCGTCGTTAATTGCTGCACTTTCATCACGTGCGTTGGATGTTGGTGTGATGATTGCTCGACCATCTGACGCACCGACCCTGGTGTTGGGAAAAGTGTTCACTTGTGCGCTTCCCGCGGGGCTAATTACTCCGCCTAGGCGATGTCGCAGCACTGAGTATGAAAGGGGAAGGTCATTGCACTTGTTATTGGACTGGAGGGCTGTAAACCATGACTCAAGCAGCTCCCGGCTCACGCGGTTGTCACCTCTGGCGAGAATTTCGGCCTCGTAAAATTTGAATGTGTGGCCGGATCTGGTCGAATGAGCCGCACCTTGAGAGCTGGCGTCATTTCTCCGCACCGCTGCAGCGTGTTCAGCCAAATGGCGTTCGCTGCGGACAAAACAACTACGTCCGAGAAATCGGAAGACAGCTCCTGAAATCTAGCACAAGACCACCTGTGCCTACTGTCCTTTTCACAATGTTTGTACCTTTCCTTCATTGTTTATCTTTCACCCTGTTTACTG